TTTCCCAACTCTAAGATTTGTATAAATCAGAAAAAAAATATGATAGGACACTTGTGTGTAAACTCAATGACATGAAATAGGTTTTGTGGCAAAAGTGATAAAAATAGAATTAAATAAGTATTTTGAATTGCAATAAATAAGTCTTCTAAGCATCTGCTTACAAAACAAACCAAATTTATCTGCATTATAGACCTGCTTAGGCAAGTAATTCTTGAGTTCTCTTTCTTAATTGTTCAGAAAATATCGCTTTTCTATCTGCTGATCTTGTGATGTTTTTTTTTCAAACAATGCCATTTTTTAAGTTTACATACTACAATAAGGGCGTGAAGGTTAATACTTGGTTCGTTTACATTTGCTTTCAATTAGTTCAAGTCACAAGAAATGTTGATGTAACTCTTTGGTCCTTTCACAAAATATCAGAAAACGTAAGGTTCTGTTTTTAGGACTGGCCTCCTGTTCTGGGTGTATGCAGGTGTGTGGGGGTTGCCTTTGGTGCTTGGCCCAAATAGATCAATTCACGGGGTCTTTGGAGAGGGTGCAACAATTTTTCCTATCGTTTGTTATTTAAGTTACTTTCCGGAGCCATAATATAGCCCACCTGTGACCACATTCTCACTGTGGCATAGACAGATCATAAGCAAGAAAACAGATACATGTGTGTGTGTGTATTGAGAGAGAGAGAGAAATAGATATCAATACTTACGGCTGTAGATATGAGATAGATATAAAAAAAAAACAACAGAACGACTTGGGAAAGATTAAAAGATGACAGAAGAATTCCTTGAAGAGCTGAGCCCCGAATTCAGACTTACGTGATGGGGAACAAGGAGCTCTCTCAAAGGAGGAACAGTCCAGGCATCACAATATGGGAGCAAAGCCAGGATTCAGGAAGACCCCAGTAGCCTGAGCAACTCGGCAGCTGGGACTGGAGGGGTAGGAAGGAGGGAATCCCCAGGCAGCACAGGAAATGGCCCCGAGAGCAGCAGGGGACCGTGCCTGGTGCTTCTTTTCCAAAGGAATCATCAGGAGAGCAGATTGCGTAGGGAGTCAGGACATTGAGGTCAATTATGGTGATAGAGCTGAGGGCAAGTAAACCCTTAAGAGGTTTTTTTTGGTAGATACATCAAAAATTTTAAGGATATAAATTGATGAGGAAAATGGATCTTCAGGGAGTAAGCGGGGAAGCTGTTGCAAACAGCTTAGATAACACCTAACCTAGGGGTTAGATAGGACAACACAGATGGGAGAGATGCTTTATTGCGCTGCCTAAAAATAAAATGAAGACAGCAAGCACAGAATCAAAGGGTTAGCACAAACAATCGGTTTGGACCGAGTTCCGTGAGGCTCTGACCCTGTTCATCTTCGGAAAGGCAGGTGGCCTCTAGAGCAGAGTGGGCTTTGGCTGTTTGTCCTCACCACTGTGGCTGGGAAGTTGTCTAGCATCCCTTTAATTTTCAGGCAAGGTCTGGAAAAATGTTTCCAACAGAAATAAAAGACAATAGAATTGACCCTGGATATTCCTAACAGAAGAGTCGGAGATCTTCACCTCCAAATGTGCCAGCTCCCCTCCTTCTCCCTTTCAGCTTCCCTTCACAACCTGCCAATGAGTCATATTCCATCAGGACAAAAACCTTTCTACCACTAACCACACGCACACGGGACTGGAGCTGAACGCAGGTCCCATGGCCACGCAGGGCTGAGGTGGATGTCGCTGCTGTCCCTGGACCCATTACCCTCTAAGGCTCTCTGCCCTGGATGTGAACCTCTGTTTCCTGTCTGGTCCCCATCTCCCCCTTCCTTATCCCAGGACCCCAGGTTTTCTTAGAATCCCCCCGCTATGTTTTGGGGGTTTGCCTCATCTCCATTTCCCTGGCTCTTAATTGGGTACATAAATTAGCCCATTGTGTCTTTCTGACCACATTCCTCCATTTTCCCTCGGGACCGAGGATATGATGGGACTCAGGGAAAACCATATAAGCACTCTCACAGTTACCTGGGACTGTAAGCACCTTCCTCATTTACTTTTTATGTACGTTTAAAGTGTGAACGGTTGACACCATACCAGGCATCCTACAGCTGCCCTGTGGATCTCAAGCAAGGAGCCATCTACAGGAAGCCGTCAAGAGAGAGGCTGAAACAATTCAAATAAACCAACAAATGCAATTTTAAAAGGAAGAAAAACGCATGTGAGCTGCAAAACCTCCGCTCTTATCCACCCTGTGGTGTTTTCCTAAGGAATTTGACTGTCATTCTCCTGTCTACACCCTGGCAGGAAGGCCAAAGCTGGCATGTATCATAGGTTTAGAAGAGAAGGCTTAGAATCTGGGAATTAACTGCCTGTCTTTTGTTGGGTTTTCTGTTAGTAAGATTTCCAAGCTTCGACTCTGTATTCATGTCTTGAAATGTTATAAATTACTATATGTGATGAGCCTCTGAATAACTCCTAAATGCTCCAGGCTTAATATATTTAGTCCAAGAATACTGCTAGTTATAAGGATGTAATAACTGCAGACATAAGGTCAACAACTGTTTCTCTTTTTGTCTGCCTTATGTTTCTACTTTTTGGAGATCCAAAGTTAAAAAAAAAAAAAAGTAACAGCTTATTTAAAGAAAAATGTCTATGCATTGTTTCTGCAACGTAGGAAGTAAAGAGGTTTTGCTGTTGAAAAATGTTGTCTCTGCTCTATAGTCAAATCATCAAGAGAATGGATCCACAAGGGATAGAGTACATAAGAGCAGGTAGAGAGTAGCAGCTTATAAAAATTCAGAAGATAGAATAATTAGATCTCAGGAGACAAGGCAGAAATAAGGCTCCTGGAGCAGACTTAGGTCTCAAAAAGATCCTGGCTGCTTGAAAATAGGGAGAAAATCATGATTTCTAAATCCCAGATGATCCAGAAGAAAGTCATTTCTACCTTCTCAGTGGTGTGCAAGAACTTTAGAAAGTCTGAGAAAATACCTTTGATTGTATTGATCTATATGTATATGCATTGATGCTAAAATCTTTCAGTAGACTCCATATCTAGTTGTAGGGAAACAAACATCACTAAATACGATCCTAATAATGGAAAGAGCCGTTTGCACCTCAGGTCTGGAACCGTATGTGTGCAACAGTTCGTATGACTGCAGTGTCCTTAATATTGTGGAGTAGTGTGTATTCTCATAAAATAGTAAATTATAACAGTTCATCTATTGAAGTCACTGGCAATCAAAAGAGCATCCCACTTGTTGATTTAATTGTTAATAATGAAATGTTACACTGGGATGCTGCTGTACTGAAACAATATTAATAAAACAGAAATAGAACTGTGAATTCCACTAAGAAAAATCTAGCATTTATTAACTCCTTTTAATGTGCCAAGCATATGGCTAAGTGATTTTTTTCAATCCTTACTTGAACACTTCAGTTACCTAATTGTTATCATCCCCGTTTTGCAGAGAACACCGAGATGCAGAGGGATGAGGCACTCCATCCAAATCCCTGTGAAGAAGCAGAAGTGAGCCTGTGAACCTGCATCTCCTCTGCAGAGACTGCTCTTTCATCCTTAGTTTATACTTTGCTAAGCAGGAGCTTGACTCTGTGTTTAAAGGCAAGGAGTCAAAATAGAGCATGCACTGTGGACCTGGCAGAGGGCTTGAAATTTGAGAACCACAATGTCGGCTTAAACATCACTCTACTAGGGCTGAACTTGAGGCTTCCGCCTCCCTGCAGAGTATGATGTATGCTGTGATATGAGTGGCCTTTGCCTAACAGGTGGTGACAGGTTTTGAGACAGATTTGAGAGAAATTAAAAGCCATGAGGTGAATGTTGTACTTACTTGTGATTTTTTAAAAAATGCTAAGGTCATCTGAAAGTAGGCTTCTATCTTTATTAAAAAATTGATGACAAATGGCTTCTTCCAGAAAGTGTCTCTTATTTGCCTCATGCTAATGTAAACAGCCATCCTGTTGAAGGGAGCTACACATTATGTGGCAATTTTCTGCCTTCTCACCTTCTCCATTCTATCCTCACAAACTTCAGTATGCACCAGAACCTTCTGAAAGGCTAGCTAAATTACAGATTTCTGGGATCCATCCCAGAATTTATTATTCAGTAATATGATAATGTTCATTTCTCAAAATTTCCCAGTTGATACTGATCGGGAGCAGTCAATATGACAGAAGTTCAGTAGCTCAGAGAAAGTGCACTTGCCTAGCACTCACAGGTCATGGGTTCTGCAAAACATTTTAGGGTTTCTTTTTTTTTTAAAAAAAAAGATCAAACCTGCTAATTTTCCATTAGGAGATGGAAATACTTGTCAGGTGGTATGGGCTGAATGGTGTCTCCATCCTCCAGTTCATGTTGGAATCCTAACCTCTATTCCCTCAAAGTATGACTGTACCTGCTGATAAGGTTTTCCAAAGATGACTGAGTTAAAGTGAGACCAAATGGCTGTATCCTAACCCAATAGAAATAGTAAAAGGAGGAGATTAGAATATAGACACCACCCAATGCCAGAGGTGACCAAATAAGGATACAGTAGGAGGGCCATCTGCAAGGAGAGAGGTTGTGAGAGAAAGCAACTTGGTCACCAACTTGACCTTATGCTCTGAATTCCAGAGCTATGAGAAAATAAATTCCTGCCATTTAACCCTTTTAAGCACTTTTTCCTGAAGCCCTGGTCCACTAAGACACCATAATAACGGTTATATCTATTATCATTATATATGAATGGAGTAACAAATAACATGCAGAAGCATAGTCCTGAAAAATATGTATTTGATCCTGAAAAATGAAGAAGAAAAGTTTCCCAAGCTCTAACTCATGCTCTATGTTTATGAAATTTTGGGTTGATTCATTATTCGAAAGTATGCATTAAAATTCTTTTCAAAATGTTTTTCCTTCTTCAATGTATTGTGTGTCCATTTCCAACCCGAAAATGAGGCCAAGCCATCCCATTGGCCTCTGTTTAAATAGAAAAGCTATTCACCAACATCCCTGAAAAATAGCCTTACTAACCTGGTTTTGTCACTCCAGAATGGGAGGGCTTCTTTCAGAGTCATCACCGCGGGCCACGGCACCTGCTTGTTTGGTCTGATGTCACAGCAGGAAGGACGTTCATGGAAGGAATCAGCAGACTGTCTTTGGACTGAAGGCTGCAACCTCAACACTGGCAGTGATTTCTAGGCTGCTGCCCTGTTCTGCAACATGGGTACTTGTCATTTCCCCACAGAATCCCCCCACCCTACTGCCACCATATTCTCTCTCTCTGTACAATCCTAATAATAATAATAAATGAAGAACTTCTCGATTTTGTAAATAAAACTCAACTTTTCCCCATTTTCATTTGTCTTCTCATCAGCATTCCTTCCTCTCTTCATCATTATTTGTGAGTCAAGAAAGTCATTTGACACTAAAATTAAAGCCCCAAACTCATTCTTAGATAACTGTCCAACCCAAGTGTCTGTGAGCATTTTCTGTGAAGAGCCAGATAGTTACTCTTTTAGACTGTGAGGTCCCCCCATGCTCACTCTGGCAATTGCTCAACTCTGCCCCTGCAGTTCACAGCCATTGTGGGAAACGTAGAAATGGATGGGGGTGGCTGCGTTCCAACACAGATTACTTATGAGCAATGATATGTGAGTTTCATGTGATTGTCACACAGCACAGAATATTATTCTGCTTTGGAGATTTATTTTTTTGTCTCATTTAAAAACCTTTTTTTTTTCTTTCTTAGCATATGGGACCTAGAAAAAGACTGTGGAGGCAAGAGTAGTCCCTTGTCTTGGCTGCTGATCCCTCCCCTGGCCAGTCCCCTTAGTTTCCAACTAGAGAAACCTAATTCTTACGTGATGTTTTGCTGCATAGTGAAGGATTTCTTATAGACTCTAGCTTAAAAAAAAGAAAAAGAAAAAGAAAAAAAGAAACAGAAAAACTACAGCCCATATGCTTAAAGGACTACAAGGCTTTTAAAGGATGTTGCTAATTAATGAAATTTTAATCCATAAAGCAGAGGAAAGGTCACTATTTTACTTCAAAACATTCTTGAGAACAATATCAAGAGTGTCCACTTCTGTCAGAGATTGTACCCAAGAGCCACAACCTCCCATCATTTCTTTTTGATTCTCTTTATTTTCCGTCCGTATATTTAGCTGATTTTCTGGGAACATAAACTACTGAAATCAATTTAGTGATCAACCATTATTATCTCCTTCTTTACTCTTCCTGCTATCTCACCGCTCTCTGTGTTTCTGCAAGCAAGCTGTCAGGGCATTTTTATTGTATTGCTATTTACTCTTCGGCTCAATAGTTTTTTCAAAGCAGACACATCATTGGCATTTAGCATTATTAATCTCTGTCCGTGCAATAAGCCTAATTGGTTTTAATGAAATAAAGAAGAACTTTGTGGGAATACTGGGGGAAAAAAGGCAGCAATCTCTTTTTTCAGATATTTTCTGAAGTCGATGGCATTGACCAACAGAAAACAGATTTCCTCTAAACAGCATTTAGTCCTCTACAAGTTGTCAAGGTTGTGTATTACTGAAATCAGGGGTAACAGTCGTACTTATTTGGAAGGATTTTTATTTGGGAGGGATTTTTGTATATTAAGTTCAAACTTAGGATAGAAGTATAAGTATTCCATTGATAATTCCTATAATAAAAGCTGCTTATATCAACACAAAAATAACCACCGATTCCCAATGTAGACACACAGAGAATCTACATGGGTTGAAAAAAGTCAGATAATGGTCATAATGAAATATCAGACTATAAATCTTCAAGTCCTCTGCACAGATACCATATCTTATTCTATTTCTTTTTTAACTTGGGATTTATTTTTATACAAGATTGCTTAGTATATATTTAGTAGATGCTTATTACATTATTTAAAAATCATCTGTTTAGAAACATGAACATTCATAGAGCATAAGGTTATGTCCACGCATGCTCCCTCTCTAGGCCTAGATGACAGATGTTTCACATGCCTGCAAGATGCTCAGACTCACTCAGAACCACCTCAGAAATGACATGGCTCAGTGAACGCAGAGATTGAGTGAACTCCGGGGAATCTACATTCTAATGCTGATTTTTCTATTGCCTCATTGAATCTAATTCTACCTTCTGCACATAGGGAGCAGACTGACATGGGGCACAGAATTATAACACCAGAATTGCAGAAAAACTAATGCCATTTACCAAGCACAGCTTACCTCTCATCATTCCTGGATCCTAACTCCTCAGTCATATACACGGCGCAGAGGCTGCTCCTATTATGCCTAAAATGCCCACTTTAACCAAGCCTGGAATGATCAGACAGAAAGGAAGAGAACAAGTAGCTTGATTATTGAGAGATAAAGTAAAATATTTTTCTCCACAGGTAGCTAGGAGAGCAATTCAAAATAACAATTTTGAAATAAAATAGCTCATCTATAAAATGTATTCTTTATTCTAAGTTCATTATTTCATTTTGTTGATTTTTTATTTTTCCTTTATGAGTCATGCATAATTTTTAGGACTCAATATTTATTATGCCAGCAGATTTACTGATTTACTGAGCATTGAAATCAGCACATGTGCTCATGATGAGGCGCAATTAGTCGAACCCCCGCGATGTTTTCCCTCATCACAATTGAATGGTCCAAAATCTGCAGGAGGCCAGGGTGCTGATTTCCTGCCTGGCACTCTCCAGACCCAGGCCTTCATGATGGAGGTACCTGCGGCTGGCTGAGGAGCGCTTATGAACCTCTTTACAGATTCTCCTGGAGAGAGCAGGATGTGGCTAGGGGCAGGCTGCAGGCTGGAACATGCTGATAAATCTCTGCATTGCAGGTTCTCGAGGACTCAACTGCTATCTGTCCCAATACTGGGAAGGTGGTCTTGTCTTTGTGGACTCCATCTCCATCTTTGATAGTTATATTGCTTTTGTACTCTGATACAGTTGTTCCCAATTTCCATTCAGTCATCCTTAGGGTACAAGTACAATCCCTTTCTCTACCCCACAATAACTCACCTAGCTCCGTGACTTTGTTTTCCTACCAAGAGATGACCTAGAAAGACACATAGCACTCTGCACCACAGAAATTGGTCAACTTTGCCCCTCCTTGGGCCAAGTCAGCATGTTAGTAAAGCCAGCATCTGGAAGGCATGAAATTCTAACTTGTGACTGCTGAAAACCAAGGGTGAAAATAAGAGCAGAGTGTCAAACAGGTTACTTTGACTTTTTTAAAGTTTAGTTAGAAACATTTCTCACACTTTTGTAACTACTTTGTACTTATTTTGTTACCTCTTTATATTCATATAACACTTTATGATTGTTAGAAGTTACATATATTATTTGATTTCTACATCTGTTTCTGTTACATTTCTTCCTCTAGGAGAGATGTCTTCAAACATTATAAAAGTTTTAATCATATGGTAAAAATATGCTAAGAATCTCTAATGAAATCTATTGTGAATGTGAATGTAAATGCATTTGACAATTGCAAAATCAGTCAGTTCTCTAAAATATAATTTACATTTCCCAGACCTTTTTGCATCTTAGAATTTTTAATCCCCCAAGAGTATCATTCTTTTATAAAAATGGCCAAAGCCTTCATGCCAGCAACACTTAAATCTACACCTCAGTGCACAGACTAAAAATAAATATGCATTTTGAGAGGAATAAAATGATCATTAAATGTTTAGTGTAAATACCCCAAAATGACTCATTTTGTTCACTTAAGAATCTGATTACTCATGTACTGTCAATTCCAGACTATTTTATGAACATTTGGGCTGTTTGTGAGCTAAATAAGATTGTTGGAGCCTGGCAGGGCCTTGGAGACTGTTTCAAGCTCACCACTCAATTATCAGAATGGGAAACAGGGAGCCTGCTCGACTTGCTCAGATCACTGGTCATGAGGTGATAGAGCTGGGGTGTGAAGGCTGCCTAGGACTCCCAGGACTACTCCACTGCTGTGGCGAAACTCCTCCACAGATCCTTATACTAACTGAATCGGTATCACAGGACGGCTTCATTTTCCAGGATTAATATAAAAAAAAAAGTTAAAACATTTCTATGATCACCATTTATCTAGTAACTTGTGTATCTGAAAATTAAAAGTAGTTTTCCTCTTTGTTCTACTTTAACTGCTTCAGAAATATGGAAAATAAAAGCATCTTCTATTTTGTCTTATAATGGATGATTTGAGTTGATGTCTCATTTTTTTTTTTTTACAATGAAGATACAATGAAGAATGGAAGTCTAATATGACAAGAATTCTCTCTCTACAAAATCCTGCTGAGCCAGAAGAATCTTAGTGGTCCTATGGAAATCACTCAGATGTCCCAAGAGGAATGGCAGCGTACAATAATCCTTCTTCTTTCCTTAACCACTGTGAACATCAGGCGCCTCTAGCACATTAACAAAGTGAGGCAATTGTTCAAAAGTAGAGGAATTCTGATCCATTTTGGTCAAGTCTTTTTCCCCCAGATGGGCAAGTGAAGTGATCAGCTCCTTTCACTTGGCAAAGAGGAGCAGAGGAGTCACAAATCACAGGACATTAGACAAAACTGCTGGGAATCGTCCCAGTAAATGGGCTTAGTAGCCACATTCTCTGCATGAGTCTTGGACTCTTACGCAGCTTCTGAAGCACAGCGTTCCTTACTTTATCTTGACGGGTTGAACCAAGTGTCACATTTGGTGTTCTGACTTGAGGTTCTCCACCCAGCAGATCCAGGTCACTGGTGGGTGGGCCGGGAGCTGTGCTGTTGGCCTGAGACTATTTGACTACATGCACAGCAAATTCCTTTTAGGAAAAAAATCAGACTTGCTCAGTTGTCAGCAGGGGTCCTACAAGGGGCCCGCCCATGAAGAACAATAGTAGGATCACTCCCCTTTGGATCCACCTAATCCTGTCCTCCGCACACCCACGCTGGTCTTCAGCATGGTGAGCTTGTGGTGCCTTCTCAGAACCGTTCCTGGAGCCACTGTATAACCAGGAGCAAGTCCTTAACAGAACACAAGGGGCTATTCTGATCTTGGCTGGATTTCCCAGGAAGCAGAGTGTCAGATAAGGACTTGGGTGCAGGCACTTTATGTGATAGATGATCTCATGCAGCAGGAGAAAGGGGGCTTAGAATGAGACACAGAAGGACAAAAAGCTTAACAGGGAATATAGATGGAGGTCACCACTATGATACCAGTCGTTGGCCCTTCTGAAATCTTTTGAGAAACAGAGAAAACAAGGCTGTCCGGAATTGTTCATCTAAAACATGACAGTGTGTATTAAGTAGATTCTTGTGGTGCCAGAGAGCTCTCCGAGCAAGACACCGAAATATGAATGGCCACTTGAAAAGTCAGCACGAGGCGAACCAAGGTTCAAAGACAATGTCTACCACAGCCACAGGTAAGACCAGGTCCAAGCAGCAGGGTGAGGCAGGCACCAGAGTTTTATCGCCAGAGATCCAGCAATGCTTTAAATAGGAGCCCAGTGAGTTATCACACCAGGGAAACCTTATGCATACTGGACTATTTGACAGGCAGAGCTTAGGTAACAGGTGATGCCAAGTGCAAAAGATTCCAACAAATGCCAGTAACCATGAAAAAGAGAGAGACCATGGTGGCTATTTTTAATTTTAAAATCTGAAGAAAAAAAAAAAAGAACACATATCAAGTAAGTTTAACCTACATCTGAATGCTTCAATACGTCAAACCCTCTGTCTTAGGCATTTGACAGTTAAGTCAACAAGCTAACAAGTTCTACAGCGCAATTGTCAATATAGTTTTTAAATATCAAGTAACTGAAGCCGCAGATCAGGGGAAGGGGAAAGACTTATAATAAACACAAGCACAGAACAGGAGCATGAATTCCAAATTTTTAAATTATTCTGAGATGCAAGAAAATTGATTTGCAGAACTAAAAAATTAGTCGTTTTTTAAAAAGAAACTACTTAGTACTTTCAAATACTAAGTAGCTATTATCACCATTGATAATTAAGATCATTGAGGTTCAACAAGGTGAAGGGCTGCACGGAGGGTGACAGAGCCAGAAGATGGCAGAGGTGACATGCAATCCCAGCTTTAAAACCTTTGAAATCCCATGTTCTCTCCACTGCACAGGCACAGCTCAAACCTTATGACAACCATGTTGATTACAATGCATTCACTGGCTGTGACCATGGGAAACACTGGTTTCTAAAGAAACATATATTTTAAAATAGTTTGAATTGTTTCAAAATTACTGAATAATTTAAATGTTTTATACATGAAATTTTATGTTTTCGCCTTTTTAAAATAAATTAACTATATAGGCAGGAATTCCATCATTCCCTGGTGAGGCACAAGTTTCTCCTTTCTCGACCAATGGGATTACACGATTTTAGAGATACAAAAGTCAGTTGTGCGAACTGAATGTCTAAATATTCTAAAAATAGTTCTAACCTTACACATTTTTAATAATTTCAGGCATGCTATGTCTAAAACGAAGAACCTGAATTCAAACTATAATATTTGCAATGTATATGGTGTCTGGCACATTTGTCTTAAAAGGTAATCTTGTCACACAAGGAAGGAATAGTTGGAAGTTGAAGATAGCCTCCAAGATGGCGACAGGCTTTAAATGAAGAGGAAAACTTTAGGGGGCTAAATGAAGTACAACCAAGTGGGAAAGGACTTTCAGCTGGAAGGAGAGGCGATAATAATCCACAGGGAAGTTCCCCACAGTCTGAGCCCCTAGGAGCGCGCAGAGTCAGTGTTGGAAGGAAAGGAAATGACGATAGGATGATGGCGACCTCAAAGCCTGGATGAGCATCCAGAGGCGAAACCAACCCTGGGAAAGGAACTTAGCTCCTCAAGTACAGATGGAGGCCTCCAAGGAGCTCAGCCCTTGATAATAAAGAGCTGTACTTGAGACTTCTCGAAAAGCACCCTGACACCTATGTATTATTTAGTCAAATAAAATTTCATGGATAAAATACATAAACCAGACCTCTCAACCTGGACAAAGCAGGGGTTCAGATGTGTCTGAATTTGTCCTTTGAACTAGAATAGAGACAATGTGAATCTGCATGACTGATTTTAACCACCGACAGAAAATGATTCTATCCAAATGGCCTCTGTGGAGTGGGGGAAGAGATCAGTGTCCCATCCCTACTCCTTTTTATGACCCTATAAATTTGTGTTTGAACCAAAGATGCAGCTGAAGTTTAAAAGACTTTTTCCCACCAAGGGATGCTGAGATTCACAGACATAGATGTGGATTCCCTACAGTCATGGTCTGTGCATGTTCTCATGGGTCTGATGATTTGGCAGATGAAGTAC